CTGCAGGGCGCCTTGAATCTTTGTATTTGAAAGCTAGCTACAATTTAGATTATACGGAGACGAGTCAGCATTTCATACGGTAACTGTCAATGCTTGATATGGAGCAGAGTGATCAGGTCTTCCATAAAGGTCCGCAGACAATTGGAGTATAGGTTGAGGGTCAGAATACATCTGTATTCTGGCCTTCCGCAGCTTGGAGATCCTTCGCAGCTCCTTGTATACCCATTCTCGGAATACTTAGCCCCTGACCGACCCCCTACTCAGTAGCTCCGCAGAGCCAACCGACAGTGACTAAGTTCTGACCTTGAATGACGAACTTGATAGGCTTGGAGCACCAGAGCACACAAAAAATGGCCGTGGAGGGTCATGATCCAGAAATGTTTCAACCCACTACCCAATATTTGACTGCTGATATCGCCTGTGGAACACCTCTTCTCTCTGCTCATTCCCCCGCTCTGGCAAGTGACCTCGCATGAAACCCGCTGATCAAAATTCATAATCAGTGCCAACACCTGCGAGAAGATATTCCAGCTCTGAGGGCAAAGCTAGTGTATCTACGCCGCTGAACGGATCTGCCATCCCTAGTTCATTACTGGCAAACAGGCTGCCTGAGAGTAGCTGGTCTTGATGGCCGTCACGAGCCTGCTGATTACGTTTGGTAGTTTCTTGATAGGAAGAACCTTGTGGCTCATATGCAGCACCATGCATGGAGGCTTCACGTTGCGGAACACCTTCCTCACGAGGGCCAGAATCATTCTGCGGTGATGGTGACAGTTCAGAAAGAAACAGGTGAGCCGGTCTAGATCGATGGGCGGGTTCCTCAGGATGTGCTGTCGGTCTTATGGGACGGGGCTCGAACAATGCAAGTAGACTTTGAGCATAAACCCAGAGTTGTGCAGCTTCGCGTAGCGTTGAAAGTAGTGATTCAAAGGGCCGCCTAGCCTGAGCTGCGATGAGCGGATTGGGGTCGTTCAAATTAATCGAAAGTTGCACCATGGCTGTAAAGAGTACGTGTATACTTGGCAGCCATAGGCCATGAAGCATTGAACAGGTCCTGAGTGATTCAAATATTGAACTGATGTTGTTCAGGGCACTCCAACAGATTCCCGAGTCGCTGCTAATGTCGCTAACTTGCTGCTCGGGGTTCTTCCGGCGATGAAGTAGTATGAGGAAATTATTGTAAGAAAGATGCAATGTGGCAGTCCAGATGCTTGGTGGACTTGTTGAGAGTCGCAGGTTTTCAGGTAATTGTAAGATAAACTCGGCCAATGCTTCATCGGCCTCCTTAGTCGCCGCTGCGCGTTCGTCAGGCGTCGAACGGAGAGCCGATCGCTGACGCATGGCTTTTGAAAAGATCACACAGAGCCGAGTATGTTGAATAGTAAAGTCCGTTTGTGCATCATTCACTCCGTCAAAATGCTGAAGCTCGAGCACTGGCACATCGGAATCCTGCAAATTGCTGTCAACGTTAGAGTCTAATCGAAAGGACAGTGAAGCATACTCACATAGCTTGAGGGCGCCCATAGGCCGCCGATATCACCACATCGAATTGTAATATAATCCACCACAGCCTAATCCAGAGGCGTTTATCTGCAATGTTAAGATTGGAGGGATTTGCGTTCCGATGAATTCCTAACCCGAAGGCCGTTCGAGCAGCAACGCCAATCCAATGCCAAGAGTTGGAGACGACATCCTCTAGGTCTTCGCACTGCCAGGTCAGAAGAAGAGCGGTTTGCAAGTATGCTTCTCGATGCTTTTCGTAACGATTGTCAAAAATTGTCTTGGTCCGCGAGAAGAAAACAGACCGCAACGCTTTGAGATCTTCTCTCTGGGGCGCTAGTACGTGAGCTCCAACCAGGAAGATAGCGTTGAGCAACAGCAGAGATACTGGCTTGATGCTAGGTGTGCTCCTGTTGGTGATACTGTAGTAAGACCTCTTAAAATCGATTTCATCTACGATGGGGAAACCCCGATTCACATGAGTGAAGTAAGCTTCGACCAGCTCATCTGCGAGGTCCTTATTGGGCAGCTCTAGACTCCCTAATGGCATCGAGGGAGTCCTTGCCGGGAACGTAAGGCTTCCAAAGTGCAGCACACTCTCATTCGGCCACCGAGAGCGATGCTGTAGGATGTGATGCAGGTTAGAAAACTCCGTGCCAATAAAATACAGCCGGCAGCGATCCGTTATCTCCAAATTGCGAAGGTCTTCGCGATTGATGAAATCCGCCAGACTACGCGTTACTTGTTCGGAAGCGTCACATGCACTGGCACGTCGCTCAACTTGCGACGATCCTGAAGTTGGCAACAAATTGGCTGCATCGGGCCGTAGGTGCGGGAGAGACGGTGTAGCCGGCGTAGTTGCAGGATGTGGGCGCTCAAGACGTGGCTGTAGAGGTGCTAGAGTCGCCCCGCTATCGAAAGGGCTCTTCGGTCGAGATTTTCTCTTCTCGAAGACTTTGCATTCCTTGATGTCATGAGCTACACAGTTTGAGCAGGGTGTACCCTTCCGGAGCATGTCGCATCGAACTTTGCGGTAATGGCACCTTTCACATGCCTTTCCATCTGTACGAGTTAGCAGGTCACATATGCGGCACTAATGTTGCCTGGGGCTTACTCGTTCGACCCGTCTTTGTCGCCATATTTGCACGTCTGCTGATACGCCCTTCCGGAGACACGATCTGCCCGTTCATCGTCGCGGGAGACGGATGGACTTGTCAAACTCTGGGGTTCTCAACTGGTCAGCTTTGGGTACCCTTTATCGGAAATCACGGTGGACTCGGAAGTTGAAATATTGAGCCGAGTCGGAAATTTCGCCCAATCGGCAAGCTCTGTCAGCATCCCATTAGAGCATTGTCTCGCACGGACCCCTCCGAATATCCTGTGCCTCCAGACTTGATGATCAATCCCTACAACGAGCATATTACCAATACAGAGCGGCGCCGGCCGGCCGGTACTGCAAGTTAGCAGATTTCCGAAACTCGGTCGAATACGCCAATCAACATCGCAGATTTTGGGGGAAGTAGCCACTCTGATCTCAAGAACACCATGCAAAGAGGTCGCATATCTCGGTTGTTCGTAATCTTCCCTCAGGCTTATATAACGGGTGCAGCAACATGCTTAAATGATCGTGGACACTAAGCTTCTGAATGAGAAAAGCCACTCAAACGATACCATGTACTCCTCACGCAGAGTTGATCTAGAGATGCGGATGCGCACATCAGAACACGATGTAGAAACCGACGAAAGTGCACAAGGCTCAGATGGATCAAACAGCTACGATATTGCATTCTCCGATCCTACAAAACTTTCATCTGTACGTATCTTTGGTCTTCAATGGAAGCGCATTCCAATGTTATTCAGACCGATGACTTACTTGTGATTAGACAAGGAAGCTTCTGATTGTCGTTGCTGGTTTCATCTGCACATTTAATGGAAATCTGGGATCCTCCATGCCGTCTGGGGCTCTTGATGCAATAGCCAGGCATTTCGGCGTCAACGATCGCATTCATTTGATCCTGCTTAACTCATTGTACATGGTCGGTTATGTCCTGGGTCCTCTGATTTTTGGACCACTCAGTGAGTACGTCGGCAGACGACCGGTTCTAACCGGGACTTACCTGGGATACATCGTCTTCATGAGCGCTTGCTCTGTCGCGCCGAGTTACTACCTCTTACTGGTATTCCGATTGGCTTGCGGTATAAATGCTGCTGCACCAACAGCTGTGCTTGGAGGTCTGTATGCCGACATACTCGATGATCCCTCGGTCCGGGGGAACGCCATGGCCCTTTACATGTCAGTGACGACGATTGGGCCGATTGTAGGACCCACAATATCTGGGGCCTCATCGTCAGTCTCGTGGCGCTGGCCATTCTGGATCGCAACCCTCATAGCGATAGGCGGCCTACCGTTAGTGTTGGCTCTACCGGAGACATATAGCCCTGTGTTGTATAACAAGGCTATTCGAAAACTAATGAAACAGAATGCAGAAAAGTTTGATATAGCTGCGGGACAACACTCTCAAGTCTTGGACCCGAGACATCAAGCACCGGAACTCAAACCTTTTAACGCCAGGGAAATCTTCCTTCGACCGTTGACTCTCCTGGTTACTGAGCCGATTCTTTTCTTCACGTCAGCCTACCTCACCATGGGATATGCAGTGTTTTATCTCATGTTTCAGGCATATCCCCAAGTTTTCCAACGACTTTACGGGCTCAGACCAGGCATAGCTGGCCTGGCATACCTTCCAAGTAAGCCTTATTCTTCCTATAGAGTAGCATCTCTCTGACTAGCTGTGTAGTGATTCTCGGAGTTATTGGTTCACTTGCTATCTTTGCAGCTTTTACCTCTTATCATGACAAGCGAACCAGGGCTGGCGCGAGCTGGACGGAAAAGGAAATTCATAGAAGGCTTCCACTAGCGTGCATTGCATCGCCATTGTGAGTTACCCGACCGTTCAATTTGAATGTCGTGCTAATAGTATCAAGTATGGTCATCGGCCTGTTTTGGTTGGGTTGGACTGCGCGGGTATCGATTCATCCAGTGGTGCCGGCAATGAGCGGCATTTTCTTTGTTTGTGGCTTCCAATTGCTTTTTATGGGGATGGTCAACTATTTGACAGACGTATTTCGACAGAATTCAGCTTCTGCACACGCTGCTGCAAGCATGATGAGATCGATTGGAGCTATCCTACTGCCACTGTCGGCTGAAAGCATGTACAGCAGCTTGGGTGTTCATTGGGCGCCATCTGTTGTTGGCTTCATCGCTTTAGCTTTGGGGGCGATACATTTTATCTTCATCAAATTCGGAGACAGGCTTGCAGAAAGCAGCCAGGCGGCTGAAAGACACAGACAAGCATCGTAGATACATAAACATAGTACATACACAAAAATGATATAACTTCGTCATGAATTGCCACCACGCGTAAACGTACAGTGCCGTCGCTGTGTTCAAAATTATGGGATGTTGTCTATGCGCACAGGGCTCATCCTTTCCACCCCCCTTAACGATACGCCGGTTGTGGTTGCTGAATGCCGCCACTGTATCCAGCATTATACCCAGGTCCGTACCCTGCTTGTCCATTATTACTGTAACCATATCCGCCGCCCTGTTGGCCGTATCCAGCTTCCGTCATGCCTGGTCCGCCAGCCGCCTGGTTACGACCGCCCATCATGCCGCTGAGCTTGCCCATCATGCTGCCACTGTGTGTCGGAGTCCGGTGGTGAGCCTGAGCATTTCTGTTCGCGCGCCTCTTGCGAAAACAACAAAAATAACAGCAAAGTAGAGAGAAGGCGAGAACGACAAAACAGGCAATGGCAATGCCAATGATGGCCCCAGTCGCGAGACGTCGACCACGAGATCGGTTATTTCCGTTCTGGATCATGTCAGCTGAAGAAACTAGTCACCCTTCGAGGAACGACTCACCGCCATATCTTGGTTTATATTTGATTATGGATGGGCTGATGACTGCGATTTGGGACCGTTGTGTTGTGTCGAAATACTGGTCAAGATGAGAATACACACCGAAACTGATTGTAGTGGAGGTGCCAACGTATCTTATACTAATAAGCCTCTCACATGACACATGCTATCAGCCTTATAGTGACGCCAGCCTTTACCTACATTCCCAGTTCCAGCCCTGACACAATCGCTGAGCATAACTCCGCTCATCGTCATGAGATGTGGCTAGCTGTGGCGCTGCAGCTCTGGCATTGCGCCAACGCGTCAGCCCAGCGTTCCCTTTTGTCGATCACGACTGGTTGATTACACTACAAGGTGCCAATAAAGCGTGACGTGAACCTTCATTCGGTATACCATGTATGCATGATGTATATATGCTCAAGCAGCATTGGCGGTGATGTCACAGCCAATACCGAGTGACGCGCGGCCGACTCGTGTTGATGTGGGTCCGACCCGGGTAACGGTCCTCAGGGCTCGGCGCCGAGCATGGCGAACCGCTTGCACGTTCTCACTATTTTAGGTTGGTGATATGTCTAATAAGGGAATGCCAAAACCTATTCAATGACAATCTGGTTGCGTGCAACACGTTACTCGTATGTGGGGCCCTCACCTCACAGGAGTAATGTCACAAGTATTCACAGAATACCTCAAAGCTTCACCTCACCCCCCTAGCCCCCTTTAAGCAAGGTTCAGTGGTGAATCGATGCCTTCCTGTGCAAATACGAACGGTTCAAAACCTCACGCGGTCTCTGAACATATGACTGCTCTTCATCTTATACTTGATAGGCTTAACGCCCAGGATCTTTGATACGGCGTGCTCCGCCACAACCATGACAGGGGCTTGCGTATTGCCAGTGGGTACCTTGGGGTGGATGCTGGTATCGACGACATACAAGTTGTCAGTTCCCCAGACGCGGGCATCAGTGTCAACGACACTGCTGCCGTCATCTTCCTCGCCCATGACAGCTGTCCCGACAAAATGAGACCCACTGCGGAATGTCTGAGTTGGACTCTCTGCCGTGGTGTTGACCGGCAGAGTCAGTGAGCTGTTAGATTTGCTCGCATATTCAATGAGTGTAGTCATGAAAGACAGCATTACCTCACGATCGCCATCTGTGTTCATAGATGGCTGGGTTGTGATAGTGGTTGCACCTGCGCGATTGATACCAAGCGCGCCGACCGACGTTAGGCCGTGGGTAAGATAGACCTTCATACTGACTATGTTGTCACTGGGCGCATTAACTGTGCCCTGGACATATCGAACGATTCCGTCCGTGCTATTCACGCCTGTCCAGAAATTCAGGCGCTGCCCGGACTGCGAAAGTAGACCACTGCCTTTAGCGAAGAGATCGATTGTTTCTTGACTTGGCGTGAGCCAATCATCCTTAGGAAGTGTTTTGAGACCTGTCCTGACGTTGAAGTTGACAGTGAAAATAGGATGGTCCCTCATGCTTTCACCAACAGGAAGCGGGATCCGTTGGTTTTGTGGCCGTAGGTTGATGTTGGTTGTTCCAGAGGCGACGGTCTCGATCTGAGCCCTAGAACCGATGCCAGAATTAAAGAGAAGGCGGGGGGTCGAAAGCGCACCAGCAGCAGGATTACCGCGCCGCCGGTCTTCAATTTGATGACCTGGCGCGTAGTGGTTTGAGCTCGACCTCAGCGCCGGTGATAGCGGAGCCTTCACGAACCGCGCGAAGGACTTTGACATTGGGTTGCAGAGAGAAATTGGGGAGAGCCAGAGCCAGGGAAGGTAGTCACGGACAGGTCCAGCGAGAAGTCCATTCTCGATCTGTCTTTGTAAGTGGAAAGTCATCTAAAAGGGGTATCCGAAGACCTACTAGCTAAGTCGGATGCGCGAAAACCAGTTGCTTCTCTTCCGGGCGCTTGAGAGCGTTAACTTTGCTCCAGCCATTGTTAAATAGGCAACCAGAAACAATGTCGAATGCGGCATCGTCGTACCGATTGCCGTCTTGGCTTGCCAGTGTGGTTCCAGGGGACCGCTTGAATAATCTTTCAGTGGCAGCCTCAACACCATCTTGCCATTGCCAACCTTGCGGTCAGCTATCATCGAAGTCAGCAGCTCTTGGTTTGACGTACATCATGGCATTGACTATGGTTGAGCCGCCCAGAGCACAGTCGGCCTGCGAAGCCGTGTCTGTGCAGTACTCGCTCGTGTCCTTGGCAGTGGCGAGGTGATACGCCATACCGGGAACATCGTATTGGGTGACAGTCGCATTCCAATCCATGATGGCTTTGCCGCCAGTAGAGAAATAGGAGGGGCTTCCACGCTCCAGAAGATGTACGCTGTGACCTGGTTCTGTAAGACGTTGAGCAACAACTATGCCTGCCGCACCGGCACCCACAACGATGTAGTCGTAGGTTACGTTCGAGATAGTCGTTGTCACGTTAGCAGGGACTCCGGGCGTTGTGCTATTCCCAGAAACTGTAGGCTGGGGAGCAGTGGGCGCTTCCGATGCAAGTGCGGCCCATGCGGCAAACTCGGAAGAGCGAGCCGCGGTCGCGTTCACGCCCCAGAGGCCAAAGCCGGCCGCGTGGTAGTTGAGTACCGAACCGGAGTTGGAAGATTCCGTTACCGCCTTATCGCTGAGGGCGAACCCAAGTGTTTGAGTAGCCGAATCAGGGGCAAATGACTGAGTGGGATCAGAGAGGCAACCTAGGTATAGGTGAATGACGTCTGGGTGATGTTTGAGGCGATGGATCTGATGCTGAAATCGCCTGTTACGACATCAGGGTTTGAATACCCAGTAGCTTTACGCATTGATGTTATGACATTGTCATCCTCAGGCCAGGCGACAAGGAGCAGCTGACCGACCTTGCTGCCACCGAGGGAAACGGGAGCATACCCTTTAGAAGTTGGCGCGGTAATCTGACCAATGAAGTCGCTGGATGTCGCCTCTGGGAATGCGATGCTAAACGCGAAGCCAGTTCCGCTGTGAAGGTATTGCTGGAATGCAATAGAAGTATCGGGGTCAATATAAGAGGTTGTTTGTTGTGCCTTGACCATTGCTTTTAAGCTTAGGGCGAGAAGGCCCAACGAGGTCTTGACAGCCCCCTTCATGGTGTTTGGCGTAGGAAAAACAAGGACTTGTATATTGGCTTAGGATCCAGTGAAGTGACTTGTCAAAGAATGCACCAGAAACGAATGTTAAACCAGCACAGCTGTTGGCGAAAAAATGAATGAGAAACAATCAAGTCGCGATTGCGTAAGGAACAAATTGGATAAGCCAAGGAGCTGCTGCTCTCTTTCTTAAATATCAAGTTACCTTTCGACTCATGCAAGCCCCAGGGTGCGTTTGCACCATCACCACGAGTCGCTCTCTGTCCTCTGGGTCTGGCTGGCGAAGTCACTGCTCGCACTTCCCAGCTCAGGTCCACAGTGACGGCAGGAGTCGCTCTATTCCATGCATGCGTTTCTGTTGCCTGGGCTGGTCGTTAATTCATTTTACGTGGTGCATGTTGCACATTTCCTACCCGCCGTTTTGTACACTTGGCTGGTTTCGGCCAATAACTGCAAAACAGGCAAATCTGGACATGTCGAGGAACAACTTACCGTCTGAACTAAATGAACATTAATCTCTTCGGCCATCCCAGGGCTGGCGTTAGTGGGACCATATTTGAGGTTTAAGGGGCAGTTTGTCCCCGTCCGGATGGGGCCAACCAATTGATGCAAGTTGATTTGGTACATCGGCTTACCTATTTCTCCGCAGTCTCACCGCCAGGTTGTCTGACGAGAGACTTCAAGTCGTCGCGTATCGTCAGCCTTGTTTGGTGGAGGCTTTAGGATAAAAAGGTCAAGGTCGGGCCTGAAAATATATGTAAGACGCGAAATATATCGTCTTGGGAATCACTCACTCATTCCTGTAATGCAGTCCAACGTCCAAATACAGCTGAGCGAATAGAATAGTCACGAATGGCTGATGTTTTGTGACCAATGAGAAGTTGCAGACACAGCTTGACAACAATATAAACATGTTGGCTTGTGGCACACATTTCTTTGTTATGGACTTAATGTAGAATAGGCACCCGTGATTTTGAATCCATAAAACTATCCGATTGCAGGCTCACTAACATGTAGTCGGTTCGTCAAAGTGTCATATATTCTTCAGCCACGTCAATTAGGCTCCTGTTTCTTGAAACAAAATGGAGCATGGGTATCCCAAGCTTGCCCTTAAGCCTGAAAAGAGTCACGAAACGCACAGGTACGGACTCTGCAAATATGGTCATGAGGACATAGTGACACTCGTGGTAAGGGCTGTTGGGCGCTTTCATCTCAAGGTGGCACTGGCCATGATATCGACAGTGTGTAAGGACACAAAAAGACGCAATTATAGAACCCTTGAAATGGTGTGTCGTCAGAGCAGTGTTACCGCCGAGATAGGCATGGAACAAGTTTTAATTGACAGCCTCGAAGATATTAAGTACGACTCAAGTCGATCGAGAATTGTCTGCATATATTAAGAGGTCTTTTGTGTAAATCGTCAATCCTGTTGTAAGCTTGTGATGGTTCCATGGCGGAGAGCTTTCTAAGAGTTTGGAATTGATTGACACTCCTGGGTTTTCACCGAATCTCCGTTGCTGAAGCTTCGGCGTGGTGATGATGGTGATAATATTTGATGTTGGCCAATCCTCCGAGCCTTGGAAGCAGCTTAGTTAAGGGATAATCTGTTCCTTGAAGATATTTTAGACGTACACCGACCCATAGTACTTTGTAAAAGGCCAAAGCGAAAAGCTGAGTAACATGTTCAAACTCATCCGGCGATCTGGGAGGAGCCGCTAGTGTTTCGCAATGTCTACATGAAGACTGACAATCAAGTCTCAAGTCCATGTTGCTACTGAGAAACCGGACTTGGATATCCGTTAAGGAAGGTGTCGAGCACGTAAACCATCCACTCCTTCCTTGACACCAGACTGATATTTTAAGGATCAGCGAAGGTTACAACCAGGCAATCGACGTCCTATAGGATCTAATTTGAATGTGACTCAAGGTTTCGATGACGAATGTCATGAAAAGCTTAAGCATGCCTTTTGTGGTGCAGACTTCATCGCTCATTGAAAGAATAATAGCTTGCTCCGTGAAAATCTAAGATTCGCTCTCATGCCCAATTATTGAGTCACCGCCTCGACGTACAATGTACAAGCTTAGCTCAGCCATCAAGTAACGGACGCGAAATTTTTTCAGATATAGGCGCGGACGATTGCGAATATTGACCTTCGTTTCTCACTTCACCGATCCTAGGGTGTTATTGATGATCAGTAAGAGCCTAGATTCCAAGACTACTGCCAATAGAGACATCAGCATCACCCCCGAAGGACCCCTACAGACAATACACCTTCGCAAGCCAACCTTTCTGAAACTGACTTACCAATGGGAAGACGAGGCCACAAATGGACGCCTGATCAACACAAGTGCACGACCGTAGTGCTGGACGCAGAGAGACGTAGTGCCAGCCGTAATGGAGACCTTGTACGGCATGACCGCCGGTAGAAGAACCCCGCGGATTGGTCTCCGATCAGATGGCCCTGGTTTGGACCTACCGCACATTGAAAAAAGCGCGGCCTGGAACCTTGTCTGCGACTGGTAAGGTGGGCTAAAGTAGGTACGTAATGGGGGCCCGTTTGGCCACAAGATCAGAAGTCAAGTCATTGCCGACTTTGCCTCAACAGGGGTAGATATGATGCCATCATTCGTATCGATACCAGCGGATATGCCCCGAGAAATTGCATCGACCAGGCTGTCGATGAGCGCCAACGTTGAGTGCGAGTGAAATGCGAGCTTGATGTTGCTTCAACGGGGCCCTCCGCAGATGATAGCGTGCGCTACTTTCGCGATAGAAATTTGTTGATTAACCTCGCGTCCTCCCCCAGGTGATTACCGCACCCGGCACTCCACATCATCTTAGGGTCTCGCCCGAGTAGACGCTATCGTGAGGCGAACCCTTCGAACTCTGATTGGTACCTTAACAGTCCATGCATAAAGACATACATGTTACACCATGATATGATGAAATACCATCCCGGAACGAAGCACGGGTGAAGACCTGCCTCGGCGCGTTGATAACTATCTCGACGGGTTTGATACACGAGGATTGAATACAAATGGGAATGAGACCGGCCAATCGTGTCTCTCGTGATGGTGAATGTAACCCCAAACGGGAGACCTTTGCCAAGATGCTGGGGCTCGAACCCTGGACCCAGATCCATGTCTGGGAATAGTTCCGGTATTATTTACGATTTTTCAGGGGCCTGCGTTCGCCAGCGATCACGTTTGCATGTGTCATGCCGCCCCTTGCCACTGTGCAAGGCTCTACGGACGCTTCCTCACACCATCGCCCCACTGTATGTACCATGTATGTACAGTATCTCTTCAATGCCAGCAGTTATTCATCTCCGAGAATCGATGCATACCACAGCAAGGTTGTTGCGATGCAGAACCTCGCGTTCGCGGAACGCACAGAAGAGGCATTGTTCGCCCGAAGGTTGCCACATCCAAGTTGGCGACGGTCCTGGTTTGATACGACTTCACGCGGGCCACTGATTGTACTAAAGGCCGAGTGTGTTTGCTTTTCGACAGCTCTGTTTGGCCTTGTGATCGGCAGCTGCTGTATCCTTTTGTTCTGATTTACCGGCCCGTGAGACATCACTTCAGCTCCTAGGGTAAGTCTTCTTCTTCCGCACGTCGAAAGCCTTACTGACGGGTCAGATACTAGGCTTTTATTACATCGCCTGCAAGATGAAGTTCTCACCCTCCCTCCGCCTGTTGGCTGTCTCAGCTTCGGCCGCAGCTGCCGTCGAATTGTCCAGTTATGAGTACGTCGTTGTGGGCTCAGGTGCTGGTGGCGGTCCTCTTGCGGCTCGTCTGGCTCTTGCCGGTCACAAAACCCTTCTTCTTGAGGCTGGCGATGACTACAACACATCCAATTATACGGTCCCAGCTTACTCTGCAAATGCTTCAGAGGACCCCGAAATTGCCTGGAACTTCTTTGTGCATCATTATGCCAATGAGACCCGCCAAGCCCGGGACTACAAAACAACCTATGAGACATCCGATGGCGAATACACTGGCCTTAACCCCCCAGAGAATTCCATCCAGAAGGGCACCCTGTATCCCCGGACTCAGGCCCTTGGCGGATGCACGGCGCACAACGCTTTGATTGCTGTGTATCCACACCAGTCCGACTTCGAGTACATCGCGTCACTGACTGGCGATACCTCGTGGTCGCCTGAGAACATGCGCAAGTACTTCGTCAAGTTGGAAGAGAATAGGCATCTAGCCGCCGGTGTCGAAGGTCATGGTTATGATGGTTGGCTGGGTACCGAGACTGCCCCGCTCAGCATCCCCCTAGGAGACGAGATGCTCCTCAGCCTTCTCAGCGGCGGCGCCGTTGCGTTAAGCAACGCCACTAATACTGAGATCACAATGGACGACCTCATCGCAGGGGATGCCAACGCCAACACGCTTGCGCGAGACCAGGAACCAGGTTACTACCAGATTCCATTGTCGTCGAAAGAAGCTAGCCGTGTTGGCCCCCGCGAGTTTATCCTCTCTGTCCGCGATGCCACACACCCCAACGGTACCAAGAAATACCCACTGGACGTGCGTACCAACGCCTTTGTCACCAAGATCAACTTCGACGAGTCAAACCCCCCCCGTGCTACAGGGGTTGATTTTCTCGACGGCAAACACCTCTATAAGGCCAGCCCATTGTCCACTGGAGCCGCGGGTAAGCCCGGAAGCGTGATTGCCTCTCGCGAGGTCATTGTTGCTGGAGGAGTGTACAACACCCCTCAGCTTCTGAAACTGAGCGGCATCGGTCCCGCTGAGGAACTTGAGCGCTTTGATATCCCTCTTCTTGTTGACCTTCCAGGTGTCGGCACAAATCTCCAAGACCATTATGAAATCTCCGTTCAAGGCCGCGCCCCTGCCAACTTTACCTCTTTCAATGGTTGCACTTTCAGCCTTTTCACGACCGAAGACCCGTGTCTTGATCGGTGGAGAACCCCTGTGGGCGGCGATCACGGGATTTACTCTTCGTCGGGGTTAGCGGCTGCGATGTTCTACAAAAGCAGCACTACAACCCAGGATAATTTTGACATCTTCGCCTTTGGTGGTCCAGTCAATTTCAGGGGCTATTTCCCTGGATACGCTGTCAACGCAACCATTGAACATGATTGGTTCTCGTGGGCTATTCTCAAAGCTCACCCGCGTAATACTGCGGGCACCGTTGAACTTCGATCTGCCGATCCTCTCGACGTCCCCGAGATTACCTTCAACTACTTTGATACTGGTAATGGCGAGGCTTCTAAGGATGTCCAGGCCATGACGGAGGCCATTGACCTTGCTCGAAAGGCCTTCGCCGGCCAAGCGGTGCCCATCATGGAAGTCTTACCTGGTTCTGACGTGATTGAACAAGCGGACCTTGAGGACTATGTCAAGGATACAGCCTGGGGCCACCACGCCTCTTCCACGTGCCCCATAGGCGCGGATGATGACCCGTTTGCCGTTCTTGACTCGAGCTTTCGTGTCCGTGGAACGGTAGGCCTCAGGGTAGTGGATGCTTCCGTGTACCCACGCATTCCTGGTACCTTCACTGCTGTTTCGACGTATATGGTGGCGGAGAAGGCGGCGGATGTCATCCTAGCAAGTTTGTAATCCCGTTTACCTTTGTATTTTAATGGAAGTTGACTAGGGGGCTCCAATCTTCCCTAAAGAATCTCGTGTTTTCTGCATTGCAAACTCGGTGACGAAAGCTTACCGTGAACTGGCTTGGTGTACGTTGGTGGAGTCCGCAAGTATCAGACGAGAGGGGTCCTGGGGGTCTAGACTCCGTTCTTCAGGCCGTCTGGCAGGTGGAGTTCATCCGCCTTTCAGTACCAGGTGCTCTCCATTCAGCTCAGGTACGACGACCAACGCGAGTAGCAGTGTCGTGCTTAGGTTGCTTATGGAATTGCAGCACAGAACGTCCATAATATAGTCCCTGGCCGCTTAGGCCTACAGCTAACTATCTTACATCACTGCCAGAATATTCTCAGCTCAGCGCAGCGTTTGTTCTACCCGCGGGTGCTCCCTCCACAACCGAGGTGAATGAAGCTCCTCTTCACTATCATTCTCCCCCACCGGGGTTAACCGTGGCTGTGTACGGTTCTTGGACTCTCGATTCTTCTTCACCGTAAAGCCCTCCGGCAAAGCAGCTTTGATCCCGCCTCCCTTAGAGTCAGGCGTGTCAGACTCAAGGTCGAAATAGGAAAGATCCTGTTGCCGAACGGTGTCACTGGGAAGTTTTGCTTTTGGCGTCAAACGCGACATGCGGGACGAGGAGAGATTGTAGTTGCCGGAAGCTGTGGGATTGCTGGTTAGGCCGAAGCGATGACCGACGGCTTTGATCAGGGGTTTAAGTGTTGCCAGACTTCCAGCAGTGATGGCGAGTCCTTGTTCGACTGTTGACCAGATTGCAATATCCACCGTGTTCCCTTATAGCCGTCAGTCATGCGAGGAAGCCTCAACTTGCCGATGTATACTTACAAAGAAAGTCTGGCTGCCTGAACTTTTGTAGGAATGGAAATCGGACCAACACCGCGAAGCTTGCTCTGTCAAATATTAGCTTATGTCGACATCAGGACAAAATAAAGACGTACACGCAACCCATGGCCAAAAGTGGGAATAAGAGAACCTTAGTCCGGCGATGAAGTTGTAGATTCCAAACGATCACCCCAGGTAAGATGGCGAATATCAGATCTGAAAGAACAGCAAAGACGCTGTATAGCGTAGCCAAACCAATGATAACTTCAATGTTGATGCATCTTCCTTCAATATCCTTGTTCCAAAAGTATGGGATTGGGCGGCATTGGAGCATCGAGACGAAGAAGAAGACGATACTAGAGAAGGCCGTCGAAAGCATGGCTATGTATATGATCCATTTGTGTATCTTGCTGTTGGTAACGCGGAGCAAGAACCAGCCAATTGATATCTTGCAGAACGTCATTGTAAGGCAATACCACAAGAAGCAGAACCACCAGCACTGTAAAATATCAGACCAGGTCATACTCCATGGGGTCGATTCTGCTTACCATCATTGCGGTGTGGATGTTCCTGGTTTCTAGGTCCGCATGATGGCGACCTGTGCCATAGTGGGTGCCGATACTTGACGAAATGTCGTAAAGCGTGAAAAAGACCGTCGCGACTGCCATCAGCCAGTCATCGACCCCAAAGGCCTTGACCTTGAAGACGCGGACGTAGCATCTTAAAAAGATGGAGATCAGGGCCGTGGTTATGAATGTAATGTTGACGGCAAGCAACTCTGGCCCTCTGTTCTCGATACTGTTGGCCATTAGCAGTTCGTGATGATGGCCGTAGATGTCTCTAAAGATAAAACCACCATTCAGCGCATCCCTTCCAGTTTTGCATGAGTCGTACTCGGCGTCCACGAGATATTTCTGCTCCTCGCCATTCGAGGACCACGTGCTCTACCTACAATCCCTCGATGATCAACACCAGCAGAAGCCCTACTTGGAAGTAGCGAGGTAGCACTCACAACCCCTGAGCCTCCGCGCCACGTTACCACCATGCAACATGCAGGGCTATAGCGGTCTGAGCGCGAGTCCTTCCTGGCCAAGCCACAGGGGTTCCTAGCTGCCGGTAGTGTCATCTGGCTTGCAGGAGCTGTTTGCTTTGACCTCGTCGGCGAGCTCCCAAACCAATCATTTTTCCGCTCATAATAGCGCTTATGAGAATGTGCGTTAAGGTCCGGGGTTCCTCGTCTTTCTTGATGTGGAGCGTTAGGCGGTTTGCCTCCGATGCAATGGAGAAAGGAGCTCGGAGCGGGGTCAGTCGGTGTGGGCGGCTTGGGCGGGTCCCGCGGATCATCGTCCCCGTGTTGTTGTTGCTACATGATACTTGCATCGCGTGCTCCACACCTGCCATTTCCGATAATTTCCACCACGCGACCTGAACCCACCCTTGCCACCCAGCTTTTCAATGTTTGCCCTTTACAGGTAAGGGAGGTAAGGTAGGTAGGCGTGCAGCCCAAGCTCTCAAGATCTCCCGACTAAGCGGCGCTGTTTTCCGGGCCTCATCCCGGCGTGTCTCGAGAGTAGGTAAGCCTCGGTCCAGCCAGGCTTGCTCGCGACAATCGTCAACCACTGAATACCTTAGCCGCCGAAACATGGAAAAGTTGACGAGACTCTCCTTACTTCTGGATTTTACAGTTAGAATGCTTTGATTTTTCTTCAAGCCTGATGCAACAATGTGGGACTGTGTGGGGCAGCGATACAGACTCCTGCCATTCTGCCTTTCGGGCATCCGGATCTTCCAGTGAACGTATTTGCGTGAAGTCGATCCAGAGAGCTCCAGGTGCCGGATTGATTGACCCCACATTCATCCACACGCTCCGGGCGATGGGATGCCAGCTGTCTCCCCCCGCCTCTCAACAACACTAAGCCTTCAGCAGAGGTCTACAACTTACGAAGTATATGAAAAGTATATAAGCGCAACTCGTTGCCGTTCCGGGCCTGAGAGGACAGCTCCGTCATTCAGTCTGTAAAAAAAGATTGCATATTGGCGAAACCTCTCCCAACATGGTTCGCATTCTGAGCAGCAACTTCCAGGACTTTGCCGGCGCCTCGCGCCCCTTCAGAGCTGAAGCCGAACTTGACGATCTGGAAGTGGAGGGGAATATTCCCCTCGAGCTAAACGGAACGTTCTACGGCGTAGGCTTATCCGCTCCTCTTTTCCTGGTCATTCATTCTAAGAATGACTTCAGATAGACCTGTTGTGCACCTTGTTTAGGACTAACTATGTGGCTATTTTATAGGTGGCCCATGACCCCTACTACGAGCGTGATTTCTTCATGAATGGCGCCAAGACTACTTCTTTTGATGCGGACGGAAGTATCAGTGCCTTTCGTGTCCACAACGGAAAGGTTTCCTTTAAGCAACGCTACGTTTTAACTGAACGGTTCATTGCGGAGCGTAAGGCAGGCAAGGCATTGTTTGGTGTGATGCGAAGCCCCTTCTCACACCACCCTTGCGTAAGGGCGATGGAGGACAATGTTGCAAACACAAATGTCATAGTTCACGCAGGCAAACTGCTTGCTCTTAGCGAGCACGGCGCCCCATATGAACTTGATCCAAGTAAGCTCTGTCAATGAAGTATTTCGTGCAAGAGTCAGCTAACGCTGTGATCAAGCTACGATGGCCACAATTGGTCACACCCCATTTCCGGGCCAGCTCCCCGACAAGGGCCCCTATACGGCGCACCCAAAGATTGATCCCGACACTGGAGACCTTGTAGGTTATGGTTATGCACTCCGAGGGGCCGAGAGCAATGACGTGAGTAACTTGCGGTTGGAGATCTCTTATGAAACGACAATTTGAAGTGCTAAATTTGTCTAGTGCACAGTCTGGATACACAATAGGAACGGCGCAAAGATTTACGAGCAGTCGTTTGAACGCCCAATCAATGGGTTCATTCATGACTGTGCCATAGTAAGCGCACTGATTGAAATGAATAAATGGCGAAGCACTGAAGAATCTTTAAAAGACTCCAAGCTACATAATACTTATGCAAATGCCATTCCACACTAGCTTCGAGTCTCTCACATCTCCGGACGGGCATCTATGGTAGGTCAGATGCAAAACCATTGCCACTTGTCAAACATGGCTGATGACAACTGTCAAGGACGTATGACGAGAACTTGCCGACTTACTTCTATGTTGTTCCCAAGGACAAAAAAAGACCTGTCCGAACATTTCATTGGAAGAACTGCTTGCCGATTCACTCGGGGGCTTCGTGGGAGGAAGATGGAAACATGTACGCAGGTTAAATCCAGTTCGAGGTTGCACGCTGACGAAACTAGTTTCTTCGATGCCACGGTGGCTTCAAGCAACGCTTTCCCCTTTCTGCGTAAGTTCTCCATTATTGGCTGCGAAACATGGACTGATGCCCAGAACGTGATAGCCACTAAAAGGCGGCCTTCCTCTTCGAGCGAATCTAATCCTGTTACTGTGAATTACGTCAAGTTTAAAATCAATCCACAGACAACCGAAAAAGCCATCAAAGATCCTGGTAGGATACCTGGCTGCATAGGTCTTTGAATATTTGCGCTAATAGAAGTTCAGAGATCTTGGTTAATATCCCTTGCGAGTTCCCTCGAATTGATGAGCGGTTCTTGTCTAAGAGAAGTTTGTTATTCTCGCACGATTTATCTGGTAATGAACATTATGGATATAATTGGCTAACTCCTCCAGCTCGTTACACCTATGTCAATTGTTTCGATCCCAAGTCAACCACTGACCCATCGCTCCTGTATCGTGGCCTGAATTGCCTAGGCCGATACGACTATGATACGAAAACGTTCGAGACCATGTCTCCAGGTCCAGATGTCTTAGTTCAAGAGACATGCTTCAGTCCTAGAGGTTCAGATGCGCCGGAAGGCGATGGCCTTTTGGTCACGATGATTGACAATATCCAAGAGCACAGGAACGAAATCGTAAGCACACGTGTTCCCATACACAACCCTAGCTTTCCCTACATTGTCTAACTCGATACTACACTTTGAAGATCATCCAAGATACGAAAGACTTTCAAAAAGTAATCGCTAAAATTATTCTTCCCTTCCGTAAGCCTATATTTTCAAGCTTCATAGCAGTCCACGGAGTTAAAACTAGAATATCATAGGCATGCGTTCGGCTGTACATGGGAACTGGGTGGATTCCCAACGCATCCCTGAAAATGGAGATTTCATCGAGGCATTGCCGGACCTATACTCCCGAAGTCATGGAAGCCTGGGCTAAGTGGATACTGAGAGAAAGAAAGAGAGGCATTCGGGAGTTGAATGCTTATACCTGCTAAGGTTCGAGGGTGACCTATCCTTCATTTCCTGTTACTGTGAACTAACTAAGGGCAGATTATTTGTTCCGCTTAGTAATGAACCTTATCATTCTATTTCAATACTGAAGGCTTCCAAGAACCATGCGATTGAGACACAGATTGAAATACTCCTTTTGGTGTGCAAAAGCAATACGACACCTGCCAGGCACGTCGGCACCAAGATCTACTCCCAGGGCAAAACAGATGCGGTGTTCCAACAACTTCTCCTAAAGTCTCGTTTCGAGAGCTCCTAGAGCTGCATCCGCGGATGCAATATTATCATATCCCTTTCTCATGGCCTTGCTGACCCGTTCATAGAGTGGGGCAAACAGACCGACCCAAGCAAATAAACTAGGATTACCAGCCATCTATATGGAGTCTTATGCTGTTCTAAGAATTCTGTCGTGAATATATAATTTTCGGCAAGACATAATTGATTGGTCTTGGACAAAAGAATCGTCGGAAAGAACACGTAACGTGGCCAGGCGATAATGATTATGAGCACGAAAAGCACGAGTTTGCTTCGCAAGGACGTATAAAAGCAGGGTTCCGACTAATCAAGTAGCCGAATCTAGCGCCATCGGATCCGTAATCCTAAGAAGGCATTAGTCAATGAATTGACTTATTCAAGGGGTAGTGGTGATCCGACCTTGGTCAGGCCCCCTAAAACATGGATCGGATTTTGATTGATCATCCCTTCAGTGTCGATTGAGAGGACCAATGTGAAGCTGGGAGCGTCAGGGTATCTTTGGTTTTGCCAAACCTCCTCACTGATTAGATGAACACTATGCTTTCGGCCAAAGGTCAAGTACGATTCGAGGGCTTCAGGAGCACAACAGCGACCTGCGCGTTTACATCAGAATCAAACCTAAACCCAACGCTGCGTGTTACATACTTAGTTATTTATGTAGATAGCAAAGCAGAAAAGCCTTGACTCTTATACCTTTGAACTGTGCATCAGATAAGGCCTTTTCATACATGTTTACCGAATCGAGATTAAAAGGATCGATCTCGCCAAATGAGACGCCGATGATGTTGGCCCTTGATGAATTTCAGGTCAAATGACACAAAGTTCTGCGAGGACTAAAAGCAGGTAGAAGACACTAAATTTACTCTACCCTGTGCTCTCTTCATATACGATAACCATCTAACCAGTTTAACGAGTCCTCTATGTCGTCCTTACTGTCTCGGTTCACTTTCCACAATGCTTTTCTATCACCCAAGCGGATCTACGGGATACGGAGAACCGTACCGTCCGGCCGGCCAATAACTGTGATCCCCGAATGTCTGTGCCATCCCCCTCGCGGTACACCAAATGCTGTGCGCCAAGACGAAGACATGTGACGCTACCAGCTCTCGGGTTTTGGAAACCCGCCGTCAGAGTAACAAGATACGGTAAAAGTAGCCGAATCGAGGTCTTCAAGCTGCGTTGGCCTCATTGGGAGAGGATAAATGAGCTCTGCAAGATGGTCGTGGAAAACGTGTCGTAATTTGTCAGTTCGCCTTTAACCACCTAGCTCTTTGTCAGTTTCGTGTGCTAGTACAGGCTCAAAGGGACTTGCCCCAATACTAGGCTGCTAGGATATTTTGGAGAGATTCCTAGCGCAGGTATGCTATGATACTGTGCCCGCTCTAGAGCAGTTCGCGTAGGAGGCAACTATCTGAGGGGCCGCGAAAGACAAGGATCTTATATATCATTTTGAACTTTGATGAGCAGCGAAGAGCTGGAGAATCTTTGATAATAGATGTATGTTGAAGGTCAGTTTATATGCGCGGCGTGAATGCTTGATAGGTCTCTGTGTCGTTATATGTTTACTATCCGGATAACGCCGTTCGCCACGTCCAGGGGAGGCGATGTGATTCACAGGAAGAGTTGAACAGGGAGCTTTTTCGTACTTATCTAGAGTGAATTATTCCATGGACGACATACATAGCTTGCATAAACGTTCAAAGAACGACCCCATGGCGCCTGGAAATAATACACCCCGCAGCCATAAATAACAGTCGGCAGGTGCAACAGGGATACGCTCCCCACGACCGATAACCCTGTCAAAGAGGTTTGTAAAATGATCCTCAAGCGTATCGTCCCCCAGACACTAGTTATCATGCCAACTTTTAGGGTCCCTGGAAGTCAAGGAACGAATGAAGTCTACTAGGCCTTCAGGGTCTGGCAAACAGAGACGCTCTGTGTGAGGATCAGATTGCGATTAGCAATTGTAGGCCGTCGCTACTCGCCTAATCTTTTCCTAAAGCTCTGAGCGGTAAGCCTGACCTCGTCAAAGATGTCGGCGATGGTTGCCTTGATTTCAGCCATCTCAAACACGTCGTCTCCTTCGTGCGACATCGTCTCTTTCGGACCTTGCTCTGTGCCACACAGTGTAGACGCCATAATCCCGAGACATGGAACGCCATAGCCTGTATGAAAGAATCGCACCATGTCAGTCATAGGTCTTAAAGATTTACGACTGGCCTTCGCCACTTTCACCGCCCGCGATATTAGTTACATGGCGCAACGCCAAATCGAGATTATTGACGAGTGGTCTTAGGTTGGAGGAATAACTAGTCATCAAGTTACTCCTAGGAGCTACAAGAAAATGTTTACAATGTTATACGTACGTACGAGTTTGTAAGTGAACTCCAATAATACCATACTGACTATCTATCCCTTGGAAGGCGACCCGACTGAATTAAAGTCGGCCGATCCGGCTAACCTGGACGCTGGCCTCTTGAAGGTCGACCCTACTTTTGCTGGATGACTATATTAAATACGCTCGGGACGGTAAGAGGAATTGTCCTCAAAGCACTATTTTTGGCGTGAAAGTGGCCGTCTTGGAGTGACTCGGTACGACCTACTGATGAGTGTGTCAGGTGACGCCTATGCGCTACTTGAATTTGTGGATACCATCGCAAACAAATGGGAAATTCAAGTAAGTGAATAATATGCACGGCGCTACACTATCTCTCGCATTATGCGCCCAAACGTCCATTGTCTTCTTAGCGCGACCGAGAGGTCATGATCCTCCGCCAGTGGGGTCGTGACAGGACGAGGCAAGAGTCGGAGCTACTGGCTCCGAATTTCGCATCCATGCAGATCCACCAACAGGATGTTTTGACTAAAGTGGCTGGCTTTCGCTGATACTGACACCGGTTGGAGGATCGATATTCTGCCGAGCCTCGCAAGCCCGATGTAACTCCCCACATATGAACGGTCCTCAATTTCGGGAGACAAGCCACGCTTGGCCAACGATCGACGCGAGCGGCCTGATGTTCGTTCCAATCCAGAAAAGTCATGTTTAAGCATAAAAGCACGTTTGCCCGTCCATTCGGCAATCATCAAGGTGTACGTTAGTTCATTCGAGACGGCTCTCAAAATGTACAATTCTCAAATCTCCACAATTTGGTTCCTGGCCTTCGTGGGAAGCGCCTCAAGCCGCGATATCTTTGTCTCGCCGTCAGGTTCTGGAACAGGAACGCTTACTGCACCTTATGGCTCAATCCAAGCCGCTGTAAATGCTGCGGCTGCTGGTGACACTGTCTTCCTGCGTGCCGGTACCTATGCACCGTCCGCGAACATCCAGGTTGGAAAGAGCGGCACGCGAACAGCTCCAATCTCAGTGCGGCCATACCAGAGCGAAAAGGTCATCATCAATGGAGAGAACATGCCTGGGTCGGTTCGCATCCGATCCAATTGTTTTGTCCTACGAACGCTGATAAGTTGACAGCACGCCCAAAGCTCTCGACGAGTCTTTACCCAATTCGGAGCGCGGCATCTTTCACATCCAGAACGCCAACTACTGGGCTTTCTACAATCTTGAGTATGCCCTTCCGCGAGTTGACTGCTTAATCATATCTAAACTTCTCAGACTGATCAATGGCCCTTACGGCATTTACGCACGCGATGCCTCCCACAATTATTACGAAGGTTTGTCCACGCACGACAATTATGAAACTGGATTTCAACTCGAGGGAGCTTCGTCAAACAATACTGTCTTTAAGCTTGATTCGTATCGCAACCGGGATCCCCGCAAAAATGGCGAGAGCGCCGACGGATTCGCTTGCAAGTCCGGATCCGGTGAAGGCAACGTCCTCCGAAACGCTAGGCTTTGGGACAATGTCGATGACGGCTTAGACCTTTTTATGTTTGGGTCACCAGTGATGTTGGAAGAGGTGTACGCATGGGGTAACGGCTACAACAGATGGGGATTCAGCCCGTTTGAGGGAGATGGCAACGGATTTAAGCTTGGCATCACGAACAACCCACCCGCAAACCATATTGTGCGGAACTCGATTGCTTTCGCGAACTTCAAGAAGGGGTTTATTGACAATGGTAACCCGGGTTCAATTACCTTTGAGAGGAACACGGCATGGAACAACGGCGATACAGGGTTTGTTATGCGAAGCTCGTCCTCGAGAATGAGGGGCAACATTGCCGCGGTCAATGTGGGTAGCGCCCAAGTCAGCCTCGTCTCGTCGGTTGATTCGTCTGGCAACTCATGGAACTCTGGATCATGGTCCAACTCGTCTTTCATCAGTTTGGATGCTTCTGTACTCAAAGGTAGCCGTGGTTCTGATGGGAAAGTTCGAGGCAGTGATTTTTTAGTCCCGACTTCAGGTCAGGCTATCGGAGCTACAACAAGACAAGAAGTCTAGTGTGTAAGAAAATGAACTCGACACTAAGATCTATACCATCGATTCAATGAAGTTTACTAGATCAGGAATCAGCTCGGTGTTTAGATGAACAGCTGCAGAGGCGGGAATGCCGCCATAACTATGGCTGATCAGGATCATGTCTTGGCCAACCTCAGTGTACGGATCAAAAGCTGCGGAAATGACTGCCACGTCGTCTCTGTAGGTCTTGCCGCGGATGGCAACAGGACCGGGACACTGGTGGCGTTCTGCAGCTGTAAGACGCTATAGCTCTCGCGAGTCTACCCCTCAGAAAGAGATTGCCATTAGGCTACTGTTCTCCATGCCCCGTAAATAAGAATAATAATGGGCATCGTCGACGTTAGCATCTTGTGCAGATTGGTTAGAAAACAGGCTTACCTAGAACTAACCCAGAATCCCCGATATAGCATGCCGTATTATAAGAGGCAACTAGGGGCGATAGCAAGTTCTTCGCTCGAGGTGGCCCGAAATGCCGTAGCTAACCAAGTTCGGTGTCTGACTCAAGGCGTAATGCAAATACTATAGCCAGCGGGCTTCAGGGTCTAAAGTCAAGTAAAGAGTAACTAGCTTAAAATACTAACCAAGGTTTAGGGAATACTAGCGAATCAGACCGAGACCTATAATTATATATAAGAGGCCTTACTCGTAGTAATTTATTTCTACCCTATCTACTCTAAGCGGGTAGGGAATAGATTAAGTCTTAAAAAGAAAAAGGATTAAGATAATTTTAACTTATTAGACGCTATATACCTTAACGCTAGACTCTACGATAATATTACTTATATAATCTTTAAGTGCCCTAGTTTTATAAAAGGCCGGGCTACGTTTTAAATACGGGTATTGGCTGCCTATGCTATTGTGAGTAAAGTCTAGGGTTAGGGTTAGGGTTAGGGTTAGGGTTAGGGTTAGGGTTAGGGTTAGGGTT